AAAAAAAAAAAAAACGAGTGATCGGCAAAATTTAACAATTTTTGGACAAGTGGTCAGTGCTTCATGCTCTCAAGAAATGGATCAACCAAGAACATCTAAAGACTAATCTCTGTCAGTTCGAAAGGGGGAAATAATTTCTACGTTGGGATCGAGATGTGAGGTACGAGAGCATTCAAAGCTGTAAGCGTATCACCCTACTCTTTCTATAGTAACTGGAGCAATACTTTAACGTCATTCGAAAGATTCATGATACCGAAGTAACACCTTGAAATTGTGGTGCATTATTCAAAGTCATGTTAAACTATATCGATGACGCATCAATCACAACTAAGGACGTTCACCAAACTTTCAGCCATTTTATTTGGTAGCTTTGTACTGATCAAGGCTAACGATTTTAAATTTTAAAGTTTAGTTACCAACCTATCGTACACTCCTAAATCAGTCAGCGTTTTTGAGCTACTTCACCTTTCTGCGGATCGTTTGTCGTTACTTTCTCTTTTGATTGTTTAGGATTAGATATGTTATGTTAAAGAAAGTCAAGTTAAAAATTGAAATTGATCTATTGATCAAAGTGGAAGTGTTCTTTATTTAGATGACATTATTTACAGTAATTTAACAAACTTTTAGCTATGTTATTGCCGTGTTTAGCAGTGCAATATGTTTGACTGTCGTGGAACTTAAACCAAAGTAGATCTCAGCATCTTGGCCGGAAAGTCATCATCAATAGAGCGTCTTTTCTTCGGAGCCTTCCTTTTGGTTTTCTGCTCGGAGAAACTGAATATTGTCGGAACTGAGCTAGCATGTGACTTGGAAAAGTCTTCCTTTTCAAAATGTTCACTGCATAAAAGGAATTTTTACTTACGGGCGTGTTTTCCCGTTTAATCTTGACTAGCCAAATCGCCAGAAGTTTTTTGTTGCTCAGTGTCAGTGAATGCCACGAAAGATGCTTGCAATGTGGTTTATCGCTCCGGTTGTTGCATCCAAATGCAAGGCAATGTCTAACCATTGCTATCTTTACCTTTTGAATGCTTCAGATTGTCGATAAAAGCAAAAAAATAGCGTAAAATGCGAGTTGTTTTGAAATATACAGTGATACCTTTGAGAATTTACAAAGCCTTTGGCCCAAGTGCCTCGATTCCGTGCATCTTTAGACAAAACCGCTTTTACGCGGGCTCAGATCTAATCTGCCATTCCGCAGAGCGTGAAATCTACCAAGTGTGGTGGGACACTTTTCGAAAGTGAGATATGAACTTTTTTGCTGATTAGATAAATTATGGAAACTGGTTGTCTCTCTCGATACGAGTAATCAAAACATTGATAGCAAAATATACTCACTGCCTTCTTCATTTCCAGAATGGTTTTAACAACAAACGAATTTACTTAAGAATTCCACGAAAGTTCCTGTGCTATTATACTAAAACAATAATTCACGTGAGGCTCAGTGAATATAAACTCCTTATTCGAAAGTTTAACATATAATACGTGGGAGTATTTTGCGAGTCGCGCCAGAAAACTTTAGAAGAAATAACAAACATAACACACGAATATTTCAGGCACTTGAGACCAATTATTTGAGACAAGAATATCGAAGTTAACTCCTTACTTGTCCTGCGCCTTGAAACACTTACAACCGTTACATTTCAACAGTTTTTTTATTCCCTCCCTTATAAGTGAATTTCCTTTGTAGTACAGCACGGGATTTACACTCGAACAAAGACTTGCCACTGGAAAGTACAAGGGCTCAACAAATAGAACGAATTCCAGTTGAAGTAAGCTCGATACACCTACTAAGATGGCAATGGGGATGATGCATAGCCCCAGAAGACTAACCACGTGACGAGTAGTTGCCGCCAATTGGCGTTCGATTGCTTGAGAAGCCAAATTTGGATTCACCCGAGCGCTTTCTTCCATTTTCTGTGCAACAGAATCGTTGTGCTTGCGAAGGGAAGCCAGAGTACACAACTGGATGACAATGACCGTCGCGGAGAAGGAAATGACGTATCCGCCTTCAAAAGTTTCAACCGCGCTCAAAGGAAACAAGTCGACCTGCTTCAAAACAACTAAGAAAATGGACGTAACCCACACTGCAACAGAAGCAGTAATGGCGTACTGCTTCTTCAT